TCGGGGGCCAGTTCTCCTCTGACCAGACGAAACCAGCAGTGTGTGAGTGAGTGAGAGAGAGAGTGTGTGAGTGAGAGAGTGAGAGTGTGTGTATGTGTGCGCGAGTATGTGTATGTGTGTGTGTGTGTGTATATGTGTGTGTGTGTGTGTGAGTTGTGTGTGTGTGAGTGTGTGTGTGTGTGTGTGTGTGTGTGAGAGTGTGTGTGTGGAGGACAGTGTCTCACCCAGAGGATCTCCCAGCATCTCAGCCAGCAGCCGGTACTCGATGTTCTGATACGTGATTCCCACGACGTGACAGATGACTGGAGAACAAACACATGACATTCAGACCAAAACACAGTGAAAATCATGCCTGTGTTTCACTGAGAACAGCACTGCCAACACATGAGATCCATAAATCACAACACATCCGAACTCACTGCACCTTTAGAGGAAATTCATATTAATAATAATAATAATAATAATAATAATATGTAAGCGCAGAAGTCTCGTAGTTCTGTGTATGCAGTGGTTTAGAGACTCATATGATGAAAAATAAATGTAAGCATCAAATATATGTAAAACTTATGACTGTTTTGGTGCAAGAAATCTTGTCTAATGTTATAACTTTATTTCTATGGACACTTGTTTCTGCCACGGGATAAAAAATAAAAAAAGGTAATTGCAACTTTGTAGCTCACAATTCAGACTTTTTCTTGCAATTGTGAGAAAAACAGATAATTTCGAGGAAAAAAAGTCAGAATTGCGAGAAAATGATAATATTCAGATATAAACACGGAGTTGTGAGACATAAACAAAGAATTATGCAAAAACCCAATTCTGAGAAAAACGAACTGAGATATTACAAGACAGAAATGCACAGAAAAAAGTGAGATAAAAAGTCATTATTACCTTTTTTTAATTCCATAGTGGAAACAGGCTTCCATATGTTTCAGTGAACAGCAGATGATGAAATATAATAATTTATATTATTAGTAACACAACAATAACTTACATTTCCGCACTGAGTCCTCAAATCCTGTGATTCCATCAATGAGATCTCGATTCTCCTCCAGACTGGCCTGAGACACACAATTATTACAATTATGAGTGTAACTTCCGTTAAGCTGCAAACAATCAGTGAAAGTCTCGCTCTATGAATGCAATAATATGTTTTTATTAAACTGGATACACTGAGATGACATTATTCTACTCACACTTCAACCATCCAACATTAAAATGACATATAAAAGTGTAAAAGCATAAGTGTGTGTGTGTGTGTGTGTGTGTGTGTGTGTACCCAGAAGCTCTGGAAGTGGCACGTCTCCAGCAGGTTCCCCAGATACAGGATCTGTCTTATCGGACGCTCCTCCTGCTGCGACACCGCAGTCAAGGAAACACCTGGAAATCCCACTAAAACATCCAGCAGCATTGATGATAATCAGAAATGTTTGTTGAGCAGCAAATCAGCATATTAGAATGATTTCTGAAGATCATGTGACACTGAAGACTGGAGTAATGATGCTGAAAATACAGCTTTGATCACAGAAATAAATTACAGTTTAACAGATATTCACATAGAAAACAGTTGATTTAAATAGTAAAAATATTTCACAATGTTACTGATTTTGCTTTATTTCTGATCAAATAAATGCAGGCTTGGTGAGCAGAAGAGAATTCTTTAAAAAAACATTTAAAATCTTATTGTTCAAAAACTTTTGAGTTGTAGTGTATTTTTGGCGTTTTTGCCTTTGTTATGATTGGACAGTGTAGAGCAGACAGGAAGTGATGTGTGTGAGAGAGAGAGAGAGGGACACACACACAGAGAGAGAGAGAGAGAGAGAGAGAGAGCACCTGGAGTTCGGCAAGAACATCCTGGGACTCAGAGAAACGCCCCTAGTCTCGGCTGCAGGGCAGAATTGGGCAGATTCCCCCTTCTAGCAGAAATCCAGAAGAGAACAGCCAAGTTCTGGTTCCATCTATCAGACACACTGACAGATGATTACCATCACTGCGCTCTTACTTACAGGGCAGGACACCCAGAGAGTGACCCCATGCACTATTTAGTGGAAAAACATCAACTCAGTTCAACAATTCAGTTAAGACACGCAAAAATTAAAGAAATTGGAAAAATAACCCAGGAAGAATACATCCATGATTGGCAGATCAAAGTAGCACAAATGAACAAACTAAAGTACTTTTATACAGATAAAAGAGAGAGAGAGAGAGAGAGAGAGAGAGACACACACAGAGAGACAGAGAGAGAGAGAGAGAGAGAGAGACACACACACACACACACACACACACACACACACACAGAGAGAGAGGATCCGGAGGAGTAATGATGCCGAACATCTTCACTCAGGAAGCGCACTGTAAAGGATACGTGGGTCTGGTCGATCATACACTTGCAGAGCGTGAAGTCTGTGTGCGGCAGGTTGGTGAGGGCTTTGAGCAGGATCTGAGCCGTGACGGTGGTCTGGAAGTACGCCGGGTTGAACTGGTACCTGAAGACACAAGCACAGCGATGAGTGAGCGCACAGCTCTAGTGTAGAGCCCTTGATAGTGCGCACCCCTCACAGTTTGAGCACGCCCAGGTTGGCCTCCAGGTCGTAGGTGTTTTCTCTGGCCTGAGTGTCCACATACCGCTCCAGCGTGGACAGATTCTCCGGGTTATACCTGTTATCATGCACATTCATTAGATTTGACTCATTATTGATACTGATCAATAATATTAATAAATAATTATATTAATGATATTAATACTACTTGTATCAGCTGTAGAGCTGCGTTTAGATCAATTAAACTCGCTTTATAGCTGAACTTTGCAACATTGACACTGTTATTGAACTGAATTGATATCAATAACGGAACATTGTTTTCCGTAGAGCTGATATTTAAGTCATTTCATAATTTTAACAGTGTTGATTTCTGTGAAGCTGCTTTGAATCAGTCTGTACTGTACTGTATAAAGCGTATTCGAATTATTACACGCTTTTTTGGAACATATTTTCTTTTTCTTTGCATTTTTATATCAATATGGTATAAGACTGTCCTATTTAAATCAATGTGACAAACGAGTTAGATCAAAAGTAATCTGATTATATTACCTAAAATGTGTAAGGATTACGTTACTGACTACAATTTTTGTATGTAATTTGGAATCAGCAACAGATTACAATGAGTAAATAATCTACCCAGCTCTGAATATAAACCTATTCCCTTTAACAGATTATCTATAAGCCTACAATAAAACGTGGTCATGAGTGGTTTAAAAAGTTAGTGCTGCATGGTGCAAGATTATGTTTTCATCAGTCTTTTTACTGTATATGCCTTTTTTAGATAATGTTCGACTTAATGTTAGATGAAGTGCTTTACAATTTTAAAAAAAAGGCAGCGATAAGTTGTAATAAGTTCCTATAACAAGAGCTGAATGTGATTTATTTTAACGTGACAATAAAAGACAACCCACAAACAAATGTGTGACATCCATTTATTACGCAATTAAGAGAAATTTCAAAGTACAAAGATCAGTTTATTGAAACACCTGAATGTTCTGTAGTCAGACTCTGAATAAAGGAGAAACAAAAACAGCCACAAATCAAGCAGGATTCAGTAATAATGTTTCCATGTCTGCCTGAGGAGTCGTGAGACGCTGAAGGGATGAGTAGAAAACTGCTCTGTAATGAAGGAAATTCTCGTGGCGACTGTGTGTGTGTGTGTGTGTGTGTGTGTCTGTCTGTCTCTGTGTGTGTGTGTGTGAGGCCGATCAGTCACGGGCTGGTACATGCAAACAGGAAGTACCCTAATAGTCTGCTGCCAAAAAAACAGAGAGACACCACGTACATCACCACCCACCGCCCCACCAGGACTGAACTCTAAAACTACCAACAAACAGCAAGAGAGAGACACACACAGAGAGAGAGAGAGAGGGGAGCTCAGGCACGTTCTCCACGGATGCGGCGCGCCAGCTGGATGTCTTTGGGCATGATGGTGACGCGCTTGGCGTGGATGGCACACAGGTTAGTGTCCTCAAACAGACCGACCAGATACGCCTCGCTGGCCTCCTGCAATTACTTTATTTAAAATGATTTCAGTAACAAACAAAAATATCATATGATTAAGTAAATTATGTAAATGAATGAATAAAACGTGATTTAAATAAATAAAAATACATGATTAAAGCAAATTGATTAAAATAAATTAAAATTAATAATTGATTAAAACAAATAAATGTGATTAAATATTTCAATCATTTTATTTTAAACTATTTTAATATCATCATTTAAGTAATTAACCTATTTTAATCATTTTTTAAATTAGTTTCTGATTTAAATTTATTTTAATCACATTTATTTATTATAAATTAATTGATTTATTGTTTATTTTAATCAAATGTATTTCTTTAGTTAATTAGTTTAATCTTATTTTTGTTAATTATTTATATTACACTTTTTTTCCCTCCAAACTTTTCACGAACCAGCTTAAAAACCCCTGCTTAAAAAAATATCTATTTCAAAAAATAATATAATCATGTCATACAGACACACAGTTATAAAAGTACAGTTGAGGATAGAAGGATCAAAATGATGCTTGAAAACAACAGCAAGCTCAACATGTCAATCATGCCACAAAAGCCAGCCTCATTATAATCATATATTAATGAGCCGACCAATCAGAGGACAGGAAACAGACCAGACTGTCGGCGTAAGCCCCGCCCCTCATCTGTGAACATCATGGCGCCTGTTTGATCCGCGCCGAAAACTGAGCGAGAAAAGAGAAGAACTAACGATAAAACTTCGACAATTTCTCTACGAAGCACCCCGCTGTTCGTACCAGTTGTACTCGGACTACAAAGAAAACACTCTAGGGATGCACTATCAGACATTTAAAGCAGGAATGGAGGCGTTTATGGTGTTTTTCGGCGTTTGTGAAATATCCGTTTATTTTGGATGGATTTCGCGGCTGAAGCGCTTCAGGATTTCACTCAAATAAACACAAACCCGCTCAAACCGACACGAATTCACACAGAACACGACATTTTCCGCCTAAAACAACAATTAAACCGAACACATTTGTATTTTCTCGGCCTTGACGGCCTTACCTCAGTAGAAGTGGTGTTTAAAGAGTGTTTCGAGCGGAGCTTCGGTGTTATTTACCGTCTCTCGCGCACAATGGCAGCGGAAATGCGCCAATCGGCGGCTCCCACAATGCACCGCGGCAGCCACAGCGCGCTTCAGCGTGTGAGCAACTCCTCTTCATCTGTTAAAACCACACGATACTGTCTGCACACTCTTATTAGCAGCGTTCATCAGTGCTCTGACAGTTTCTCTGGCTGAGAGTACTGTGGTGATACCGTGGGAATACTATGGTACTATGATTAGGGCTCTCAATCTTTTAGATTCCACAGACCCCTAAATACAATCCTCCATTATACTGTAAAAATCATATAAATACGTGTAACATTATTTAATCTATTAGGCTACATTCCATTATTTTGCTTAATTCTGCTCACTATAGCACTGTACTGTTTGATACAGTCATTTATTTATTTAATCAATTTTTGATATTTTATTTAAATAATTTTTATTTATTTAAATTAATTTGTAATTATTTATTGTAATCTTTTTATTTAAATCAAATGTTTCTTTAATTTGAATCTAATTTATTTTAATACATTTTTGCTTAATTATATTTATTAATTATTTTAGTAATATTAATATATTAATGACTATTTTATTTATTTTATTTAATGCGCTTTTTATTATTATTACTTTTACATTTTTATTTATTTAAATCACTTTTTATTTCTTTATTTTAACCATTTTTATTTATTGTAATCAAATTTATTTAAATATTTTTTAATTGTAGCATTATTTACTTATACATTTTTATTCAAGTACATATTTGTAATTACTTATTGTAATCTTTTTATTTTATTTAAATCAAATGTTTCTTTATTTTTAATCTAATTAATTTAAATACATTTTTGCTTAATTATATTTATTAATTATTTTAGTAATATTAATATATTAATGACTATTTTATTTATTTTATTTAATGCGCTTTTTATTATTATTACTTTTACATTTTTATTTATTTAAATCACTTTTTATTTCTTTATTTTAACCATTTTTATTTATTGTAATCAAATTTATTTAAATATTTTTTAATTGTAGCATTATTTACTTATACATTTTTATTCAAGTACATATTTGTAATTACTTATTGTAATCTTTTTATTTTATTTAAATCAAATGTTTCTTTAATTTGAATCTAATTTATTTTAATACATTTTTGCTTAATTATATTTATTAATTATTTTAGTAATATTAATATATTAATGACTATTTTATTTATTTTATTTAATGCGCTTTTTATTATTATTACTTTTACATTTTTATTTATTTAAATCACTTTTTATTTCTTTATTTTAACCATTTTTAAATAATTTTATTTTATTAGCTTTTTATTATTTATTAATATCAGTTTAATTTTATTTACTTTTACATTTTTATTTATTGTAATCAAATGTATTTAAATAATTTATTAATTGTAGCATTATTTACTTACACATTTTTAAGTCACTTTTTATTATTTCTCGATTTTTACTTATTTTAATCAAATTTATATATTTACACACATTTTAATATTTATTTATTTTAGTCAATTTTTCTTTAATTTTATTATTATTATTTTTTAAAAACATTTTTAACACTGTTTCTGTAAACTTTTCCTTTAACCCCAATATGACTGCCTTCTGGGATTTACCAAGATTCACTTTTATCACTGTCGGCTACAGCCACGTTAACCTCCTAACATCACATAATTACACTGTTAACTGAGAAAACGATACTGGAGGTGAAATATTTCCACAAAACAGACTCAATAACAGTTCAACACCAATTTATTGTCCAATTCTGTATTCGTGTAGTACAAAGATTTGCTTTTTAGACTTACACACATACAAAAACAAAGCAAACATAATCATCTTGTGATAAAACCATGAAAGAGTGTAGAAAAACCTGAGTGAGCGTCTACCTAAACAACTCATGAAGAATCTATCAAATGGTATAAAATACAGTCTGTGGCTACATATGCTCATCAAAAACACCAGACTCAACAGAACGACCCCCCGCCAATCCCAGAATGCATCACTGAAATCATATCTCAGGAAAATAAAGAAAATCATTATAAAGCACTCAAACAATACACATACAAAACATATTTCAAGAAAAAAACAAACAAAAGTGTTTCATGATGATTCTGGCTCTTCCAGTGAGGAGTTTAGCACCCGAAATCAGTCACTCAGATTTAACGTCCATTTCTTTCATTCAGGAACAGGACGTGTTGATTAGTGCCTGGAGTCCTTAATTAATCACCCTGAGGGCTTCAACTCTTGTGCTTTAAATCACACACCGACACGACACAAGAGCTCGTCTGAGAGTACACACACACACACACACACACAGAGAGAGAGAGAGAGGGGAGCTCAGGCGCGTTCTCACACCACTCGCGGCTCAGTACCTGTAGCGATGGGGCTTCTTGACTCCTCCAGTAGAGGGCGCACTCTTACGATCCGCTTTAGTCGCCAGCTGCTTACGAGGAGCTTTTCCTCCGGTGGATTTACGAGCGGTCTGCTTCGTACGGGCCATTCTGACACACGATCACCTCAAACACAACATATTACACACTTATTTGGACCCCCAAATATGATCATCCTTATATAAGGGGCCCCATCCTAAAAATGTGAAACGCTTCTAAATATTTTCATGTGTAAAGTTAATAAAATGTAACTATTATTTTCTATTGTTATTATTATTCTATTTCTGTTTTTGGTATAAATTGTTCATATTTGTTTGCGTTACATTGTGTTTTCTCTACTCACTATAGTATTGTTATGTTAGAGGTATTTGTTTTTTATTTTAATAATTTAGTTTAAATGTTTTTGTTTATTCAGTTATTCATATATTATTGATTATTCAAACTAATATTATTCAATATTAGTCCAATAAATCAAATGTTATTTATTTTATTCAATTTATTTCAATCTAATTAATTATTTCAATTATTTTGATTTTTATTTCAATTAAATTTGATTTTTTTAATCAAATGTAATTATTTAAACTGTTGTAAATGTAGTTATTTTAACATCAAATAATATATCGACACAAAATCACAAAAGTGCGAACGTGTTTAAACAGTAAATTTGATATTTACATCATAAACACACACTTCAGGGTAGATGACTAAAATCAGATTGCAATAATGCACTTTTTCAAATAAATAAGACAGGAATACAATATTTTTGATGTGTAATTAACTAAATGTATACATGTTCAAAGAGTACAAATGCAATATAATGAGGTTAATGATATATCAGTTGTGTGCCAATGGTAAAAAATAAAATAAATAAAATTTGTACATAAATTAGACCAAAAAAAATTATAAATGTGTTTCACTTTAAATGAGTTTCAATGTAAGCCTTGTATTTGAAAATATAATGGCTTTTCGTGCTGTTCTCATTCAGATGATGGTGCACTTCGCTAAAATAATGAAGTTTTGGGTTTGATTACGTTCACGCTTCCCGTTATTACAGCTGGTCTCACGGGGTTTCCCACGGTTTCAGTGACGCCAGTCAATCAACACATTCTCCGCCCATTTACAAGCGGTTGGGGCGTGGCTTCACTCACGCCGCGCCAATCAGCGCTCAGTGTGCCCGTCCAGCCCCGCCCCCTCGGGCTGATGACATAATGGCTGCTCGAAATGTGAGAGAAGAGACAAAACAGCAGTTTATCGTGCGAAGCGACACGATTTCTAACGCGTTACCGCTCTACCGAGCACGTTTAGCGACGTACAGCGGTGGCGCACACTTTCAGCAAGTGTTTGAGAAAACTACTGCGAGCAAAAGCGCGAGAATGAGTTTATTTCATCGAAGCGAATAAAAGCGCGTTATTGCAGCTCGAGACGCTTTAATAGCGATTTCAGCGCACTATACTCCTATTCATCACCGAGCTGAATGTCATCGGCTCCCGTTACCGGTAACCGGGCGCGGACTCACCTGTCCGGTGTTTCGGGAGGTTTTGTTCCGCTGCGGCGGGTTTTTGCTGCTTGAAGAGAGTTTGAGGTGAAATGGCTGATCAGGGTTGCCAGGTTTTTACAACAAAACCCGCCCAATTGCTACTCAAAACTAAACCAATGGCGTTTCCAGGGGGCTCCCCGGCAAAAATCTCGTTCCGGGGGATAAAATACACGTTTTTTGGCGTTGTTCCTCCGATAAAATTTACATTCCAGTGGCTAAATATCCCGTTTTTGGGGTCGTATCAACCCGCGGACATGAAAAACTACCCGCGGCAACAGTGTTAAAGAAGCCCATTTCCGCGCGAAAACCACACACTTGGCAACCCTGCTGATAGTCTCCCATCATCCGCCGACAGTGTTGCCAAGTCCTCGGTGTTTCCCTGGAAGTGGGCTAGTTTAACACTGTTGGAGCCAAGGGCGTAGCTACGTGGTGGCCAGTGCCACCCCTGATGAAAGCTTGGCCACCCCTGTGCAAACCTAACAGGCGCTGCGCAGACCGATCACTGTATGACATCTTGCACCGCGAGAGCAGACGGCTCCGTACGTTTCCGAGCACACCTAACTTAACACAGACAGATGACATTTTTCGCCGTTCTGCAAACATTCTGCGCTATGCAGATTGAACAGTTGAGAACCGCCTAGACAAAACAAACCTCTGTGTGGAGGAGGCTATAAGCCGTAACATTTTTTTCAGTCAGAGTATGTTAATGTTGTGGAGCGGCAACAATTTCCTTCCGCTCTGCATTCAGTGATCATCTGCTCTAGCTTTGCTCGGGTTTGACCATTTCTCACTCCTCACTTAACCTTACTCTTCGCACATTGAGACCCGCCTAGACAAAACAAACCTCTGTGTGGAGGAGGCTATAAGCCGTAACATTTTTTTCAGTCAGAGTATGTTAATGTTGTGGAGCGGCAACAATTTCCTTCCGCTCTGCATTCAGTGATCATCTGCTCTAGCTTTGCTCGGGTTTGACCATTTCTCACTCCTCACTTAACCTTACTCTTCGCACACTGATAAGAGAAACGCTCCATGACATAATATGCTGCTAATTGAAGCATCACTGAAAAAAATATTTCAGTAAGCTATTTGGAAAAATCACAAAGTTCTGTCCAGAATGTAGCCTATAAATTAAAAATAAATGGCAATAGGCTAGAAAAGCTTCAACGTGTTTTATTGTATATGTTAAAAAAGGATGTTCTGTTTCCATTTGCTAGGATGTATGGGTCTGATCTTGAAGACCTTGTACATGAGCTATACCAAATAAAGAGAATTTTGGATCGAAAGTTGAGTGTTCTGGGGATTCTAAGCATAGAATGTAGAAGAGCAAAATCAATAAATCTTGATGAGTTTGTGGATATCTTTGCCAGAAATCACAAGAACCGTAGGATTCAGCTACTATAATTTAGAGACAAGTAAAATGTTCTGTCCCTTGAGTGAACTCATAGTGTTTAGAAATGCAGTGGGTTTGCAATTTGTCTGTAAAGTAATGCAAAGACTCAAGGCACTTGCTTTTTCTTGGTAAATAAAGTGCATTTTCACCTGTCAGAGTTCAGAGATTTAGTACGAACATTTAGATTTTTCTTAAGACATGGGATAGTATGAATTCATGAACAATAATTAATTTAGCATTTGGACACAGAAAATGGCTACAGTTTCTTATTTTACATGCTTCATGTTGTTTGAGATATCTTTCCAAATGTTTCTATAATTGTTCAAATTTTTTCTTTTTTGTAATGTTACTTGACTAATTAGAGTCCAATAAGATTTTTGTTTACTGATTTTAAGCTTTTTGTCATTTTATTCTGCAAATTATTAGCATATATATTGCTTTTTTGTATGCTTTGGAAATAAATTGCCAACTTTAAATTAACTGTGTACATTTGTAATCTATAAATTCTGTAGAATTTCTGTCTGTAAAACAGAACATGTAAAACATGGTCACAGTCAGATGTGTTTTTTAAATTTATTTTTGTTTTGTTTTTGTGGCCACCCCAATAAAATCACTGGGTCTTACCTGGCCACCCCTGAAAATAAGTTCTGGCTACGCCCCTGGTTGGAGCGACCCCAATAACGTGATATTTATCCCCTGGAATGCGAATTTTACTAGGGGAACAATGCCAAAAAAAGTCTACAAGACCCCCCTTGGAAGACCCCCACCGAGAAAAGATTGGGCTAGTTTTGTGTAGCAATTGGGGGGGGTTTGTTGTGAAAACCTGGCAACCCGCGGCTCTGCGCTTTGACTCAATCACAGCGTTCGTATTTACATTTTATACGGGGAAATGTTTCAAATATAAAAAGCTCTCAATCACTTTTACTAAAGGACAAAGACTAGTTTTTATATATTTAGGCTATTTTTATTGAGAACATCTTATAAACATAGAAAGTGGCTGTTAAAACAAAGGATAAAAAAGTGGTATAGTCAAAATAAATCACTTAAAAGTCAAATATTTCAAGTGTTTTTAAAGCTTTCTTATTAATTGGAAATAGTCTCAAAGTACTACTGTAGTTCAGCAAGAAGAAGGTACAAAAGTGGGTCCTGCCGTTCAAAACATTGCAATTTGTACATTCTGTAAACACAACAACAAAAATGATTAAATACATTTAGTTTTTCTGTTTTGTTTTTTTCCAATTAACATCAAAACTAAACATTTTCCAAATGTAGAAGTGAAAATATTTTTATTAAAACAATACTTCAGGTTTGTTTGCAGTACAGCTATATGATTAATTAAAATTTGTAGTTATATATTTATAAGTTATAAATAGCCTAATTAAATACAACGCACTCATTGTGTACATTAATGTTTTTGCTTTGTAACACCACCTCAGAATTAATTTCTGTAATTACATCTATAATTACACCGCGGCAGCACGTTTTATATGCAATACAATTCTTTTTTTTTTTTTCTTTTTTTTTTACTTTTTTTTGTAAATTAAATGTGACATTACACCAAGAAGAAGGTACAAAAGTGGGTCCTGCCGTTCAAAACATTGCAATTTGTACATTCTGTAAACACAACAACAAAAATGATTAAATACATTTAGTTTTTCTGTTTTGTTTTTTTCCAATTAACATCAAAACTAAACATTTTCCAAATGTAGAAGTGAAAATATTTTTATTAAAACAATACTTCAGGTTTGTTTGCAGTACAGCTATATGATTAATTAAAATTTGTAGTTATATATTTATAAGTTATAAATAGCCTAATTAAATACAACGCACTCATTGTGTACATTAATGTTTTTGCTTTGTAACACCACCTCAGAATTAATTTCTGTAATTACATCTATAATTACACCGCGGCAGCACGTTTTATATGCAATACAATTCTTGTTTTTTTTGTTTTTTTTAAACTTTTTTTTGTAAATTAAATGTGACATTACACTGAAAAAATTGTTTCTTTTATTATTTAATCTCTCTGAATCAACCTTAATACATGATTTCTACAAACAAAACTAAATGTCACGGGTTAAATCAGATTTAATGAATTTAATGACGTTTGGCTGTGTACTAGTAGTTCAAATCATGGGATCCACACAGCTAGGAGTAATACCTCCACACGAGAGCAATGCTTTGGGCGGTTCATGTAAACACACACAGATGAGAGATGCTCAGTACACGCAAGGCAGCAGTTTGTATGGCACTCGTCGACAGTACTCCCGCCAGGCGTCTCTGTGCTTCTTCAGACAGGATTCTTCGATCTCATTGGCTCGTTGCCTCAATAAATGAAAGCACTGTAGCGCCGGCAAGTACGGCAAAACACTGGTGAACCCTGCATGACACAAACCAGCTCAATTACTCATGCACTGCTGGCACTAAACCGTAAAACCGATCTGAATGCGTTCTGCTCTTTTAAACCATACCGCATGGCAGACACCAGGCAAACATCATCAGGATGTCTCCTGAGTAATTGGGGTGTCGGACCCATCCGAACCATCCGGACACCAGCAGACTGCTTCCCGCCGGGCTGCGGATTGTGTTCAGACCTTTGAGAGAGACTGAGATCATCAGCATGGACCTGCATTCACCTTTAAGCCGAATCAAAGTTCAGTGCTTTCTTGTCATGCATTTATGAACTGGCGTGTTCAAGCAGAATGAGGATGAGAAGAGGTCACATACGAGCGTAGGCCGGATCACTGGGATTTCTGCGGAAACCATCTTTCTGCTCGTTAGACAGGTAATACATCAGGAAGCCAGCAGCTGTTAATAAACTGCACTGAGAATTACAACAATCACTGCATCACAAAGATTTGCATCGTCTACTTGAATGTGAACCAAACATTTGAAATACATCATTTACTTGAACACAGATATTGAGTCTTGCTTTCTGGAAAACTGATCAAAAGACAATACCTCGTGCATATTTAAACATAACATTTATTATTAATCAGCTGGGTAGGTATGGTGATATTTAATTAGTTCATTTTTGTAAAAATTGTAGCTTGATTTAAGAAAGCTTAGATATTTGTACTGGAAATCAAGACCAAGTTAATGAGATGGATGTTATATTCTATTATGTGAGGTCACCGAAGAGCAGACAGATGGGGACGGCAGACAGGAAGTGGATGTGATTGGGTCTCTGAAGCAGGAAGTAAGCAGGCAGACTGGAGAAGAAAGGGATCCAGATAAACTCGCCCAAAATCATGATGAACCCAATCGGCTCGTCCGTGAACTCTTTGGTCGTCAGCACAGAGCCCTGGTCCAAACACATCAGACACCAGAAATACAATTCATTACCTGTTCTGTTTAAGTGAATAACAAACCACATGAAATACAAACAATACTGCTACTGATAAAAACCAGTTAGTCCGGCGGACCTCATCGACGAGGAAGTCCAGTATGTAAATGAGCTGGAAGACGACGACGAGCAGCAGAGCGAGAGACGAGTTCTTCATCTCTACAGCAGTCAGGAGATAATTCAGATCCATCACGGCCTGCAGGACCGACACAGACATCAGTGAGCGTTCATTTGACCAACACAGAACCATGATTTCCTCAGACTCACCCAGCCGATAAACCCAACCCTGACCATCACGAAGTGCTTGACGTCGATGAGGCCCAGACGAGGATCCATACTGTGACCCAGAACAAACTTCAGCAGGGGCTTTGCTGTGCAACACAAACACACACACATGACCTCTGACCTCAGGCGCTGTGGATAGACAGGGAGGAGTTGAGGGGTCATACCGGTGTTGTAGGTCACATGTGCGGAGGACGGCGTTCTGATTGGACACAGGAACAGCGTGAGGCTGAAGATCAGAGAGACGGCCATGGCTGCGCTCACCAGAGAGAAGATCCTGACCGTCCCAGCACCGGCCCGCAGAACACCAGCGAACCACAGAACCAGCATCAGAACCACAGTCAGGAGAAACGCATGCAGACCTGCAAAGAAGATGCTCGTGTGTGTCGCCATCGGCACTTTAACAGAACTCATCTCAGATCAACCCACAGCGAACACAAAAACCCTGAAAGAACACATCTAGAACGGGCTACTGTCTTAATATCTGTGCCCAGTCTCTTACCGTTGGTTGATTGCATTTAAATGTATTGCCACATCAACTTCATAGGCTAGATACACACTCAATATTCAACCATAAATGCAAACATTCTTAGAGTAAAGCAATAATCCCCGTGAAGCCGTGGTTTACAGTGAATTTATAACAGCTAAGGGGCGTTGTTAGGTACGACGTGAAGCGGAGTTATAGCTGTTATAGATTCACTGTAAACCACGGCTTCACGGGGCTTGTTTTTATAAAACGGTTATTCCATATACGTAGTAAGGTTTCACAAAATAAAGCAGAGCAAATAAAGTGTAATGATATTAATAAAAACAGTATTCTTCCACCAAACAATGTAGTTCCTCAGAA